TTGGGGCACATCCCGCGATTTACCTCCCTCACAAAACTTTAGGGACGGGACGGTGGGGGCCTTCAAGGTTGGGATTCAACCTTTTTATTTTTTTTTATTTTTTTTTATAAAATATTTGATTTCCAAATAAAATTCGCCAAAAAATAAAAATTTAAAAACAGCGTCCCGTCAAAAGTGCTTCGACTTGAGGCAATTTACAATCAACTATACTGAATATGACTTTCACTAGGCCTGCATGAGCCGGATACTCCGGCCATGCTTGCCGAACCATGCAATTTTCGTCAATAAAACTACTCATTTTGCAGTTTTTTAACTTCAACATTTTCCAAGTTCGGCAAAGAAATTAATGCAAAACCAATTGTCCATAGTAGGATAATTTAGTCAGTGATTAATTACTTATTTCTTGTAGCCTCCTCTAGACTTGAATGTATTAAATAGGTCAAGTCATTCGCACCGCTAATAAGTCAAGTTGGCTCGTCATAACTCATAACTGAATAAAAAAGCAATTTCAATAAATAAATAAAAAAAAAATTGAATCATGAGCCAACTCGGCTCGTCTTGCAATGAAGCGAGTTCGTGGTACAAATCGAGCCACATTCGATGAAACAAGCCGTCTCAAGCCCAACTCACCTTACAGGTTAACACAAGTAGGCTTGCACAATGGCCGAATTGAGCGATTCAACTAGACTCATTTAACACCCCTACCTAGACTGAAGAAGCTTTTGGAACACAGTTTCAGGCACAGGAGAGAGAGAGAGAGAGAGAGAGAGAGTTATTAGTTTTTCTTAGTTCACCAACTGTACATGGACTGCAGTGACAGGTGGTACTAATTGCTTTTTCTGATTAAATATTCTGTTCTTGATCAACTTCTTCTAATAGTGAAGAATTTTTTATTTATTCAAGTACGGAGATGGAGGAAAAACAGTGGGATTCAGACATGTGGAAGTGGAACATAAGACCAGTACCATAATGCAGATATATAACAAACGGAAATAGACTGGAAATCTAACTAGAATAAATAATGGTTCTAATTATCTGTTAATGAATATAATCTAATTAACAGAACATAATCCCAGAAAATCGAATTACAGTCAATTTGTGAGCAAAATAAACCTGTTTGACCCAACTGCCTAAAAACACCTTTTTTTGCTACTAATTATCAGCATTAGATCCATGAAATAAGCAAAAGAAAAGTAGTTTTTTCTTTACCTCTAAATCAAATTTCTTGTGCCAAAAAATTAAAGTTTAAGCAAAATTCACGAGTTGGCTAATCTCATCTTCACCTTCAACTGGAGCCGGGAGATTGAGATCTATATTCAAAGTTTCACCTATTCTTGAAAATGGTTTAGCAGCAGCAGCAGGAGGAGTATTAATAGAATTCACATTTGCTGAAATTGCTCCTCCACCAGTAAAATGTGATCTCTTGTGCCCACCAAGAGCTTGCCCTGATGAAAAGACTCTGAAACAAATAGGACACTCATGTATCTTCTCCTCCACTTGGATTGAACCGCCATTTTTCCCGGTTTCCACCACCATTCGCGGTGGTGTCTCCGCCGTTATGTTGACTTTAATTTTCTTGTGATTCGCCCTGTGCCCCCCAAGAGCCTGATATGACCTGAATACTTTGTTACACGTTTCACACCTGTATTTTCCTCCAAATTTAGTACTCTTAGCCACCATAACTGCACCAGAATCCTCGGAATACTCATCATCTTCATACTTGTTTCTCTCTCTGTCTTCTTCTTCTTCTTCCTTTTCTTCATTTTGTTCTCTCTGCCAGGTATCTCTAGACAACATTATCAAGCAATAAGCAACATCTTCTTCTGGTGTGTCTGAAATTGAACTCAGAGGTTCATCAGAAAACTCATTACTGGTATTTTCTCCCTTTTCAAACTTGGATTTCATCATCTCAGTTTCTTTTACCGAAATTCTGGTTTTCTTAATCCTTTTACAACGCCTGAAAATTGGGTTCGGGATCGATTCTGTTTCACTCTCTCTGTCTTGAAGCACAACAGAGCTCGACGCACAAAAGAACCTGGGATCTACAAAACGGATACTTTTTTTGGGATTTTCTCTCAACCCATAACATGATACTTCCTTTTCTCCATTTTCTTCTTCTGATGTTGATGAAGATAATTGAAAATCATCAGATGATTGAGAATCCTTTTCATGAGTCTGCACTTTCTTCTGTTTTTTTGCTGCATAAAAGTTCATCATGTGAGATCTCATGTGCCCTCCAAGTGCTTTTCCATTCGCAAAATTTCTGAAGCACAATTTGCACCTGTATTTCTCCATGAAAAAATTTCAAGTTTTCACGCAATCAGTGTGTTTTTCTGTCTAGGAGAAGTATATAGTGTGTGCGGAAACTAAAGGAGTAGGTTAGGTGACAAGCATTCCTTCCTCCACCAAGAGCGAATATATACACAATGAATACACTATGAAATATTGTGTGTATATATAACATCTTTTCAAGAATTCAATAAATTAGATCTGGGATTTTCATATGAGATTATTCTTTATAAAACGGCAAACGTAATTAATAAGATAAAACAACCTAATTAAAGCATAATGCATCAAGAAAATGTAACATGCCAAATTGTCATTAAGGGCCCGTTTGATTGACAATGAATTTTGTGAAAAGCAAATTTTTTGAAAGATGTGTAGTTAAAAAATTATGAAGAAGTTATTGGTCCAAGGGAAAAATTATTTTACCAGACGGATGTTGGTTAGAAATGAGTTTTACTTGGTTGATGTAGATTTAAATTAGATTTTGATAAAAGTTGTTGAAATATGTGATTAAAAAAATTGTGAATTTCATATAATATGTAGTTCAAATTTGTTATTAACTTTGAGTTAAAATTTTAATTTAATTTTATTCAAACCAAACAAGGGGTTAAAAAAATTTCACCACATCTCCACATTCCATATATAGCCATCAACTAATATATTTTTCCTTTGGAAAGTAAAATCATAGTTTTTCTCCAAAGTTTCCAATTTTAAACATTTTTAATTCTTCATTATATTGATTTAGATATGAATTTGTGATAATTAAGATGATATTTTCGATTTTCTTTTATAAGATATAAAATAGTGTTTTCTTTGGTTGTAATTTGTAATTAATTAACAAGATAAATGTACATTAACGAGTTAGACTAGAGGTGATTATAAAAAAGTGAGAAATACAACGTATTTATATTCTTACGTCTTACTCATTCGAACCTACCAAACGTCCTATTTGGGACCTCCCAAATAAACCATCCTACAAAAAATAGTTTTTGGAAAAAAAATAAAGAGGACTTTCTGGTCAGAAGGTGTCTGGAGAATTTTGTAATAGAAGTCATAATAATGAATTAAATGTAATTAAACCTTAATTAAAATTGTGTTTATCACAAAATCAAATTGCAAATCTTCAGATTCTGACACTTTTTGCCGATGGATGTAAAGGGGGAACAATAATTGAGTGTATACAGTTTTGGTATGACCAAAATTCCCTTTTAAATTTAATTAAATATGATTAAATAAATAGATAATTATTTTTCAATTAGCTTACTTGTTTTTTTTCTTTTTAAATAACCGCTTTAATTTTGGATCTTTGATTGAAATGTGTGGAGGCAGAAAGTAACTTCTCCTTCCTTTGAGAATGGAGTTTTGTTGGGAAATAAACGCCGTTTTGTTAGGGCAAATGGTGGACCTAGTCCCCCTTGAAATCATGCATTAATCCATCTTTCCATTGCCTGCCTTAGGAATTTCAACTTTCTAGATCATAAAATGATTAATATTTTCTTTCCGAATTCATTAATATAAATTAAAAAGACTCATTTGCTCATTATATTTTTGAATGAGCAAAATACATAATACTGTAAAAATACGATTAAACATTTGATTTTCATTTTCAAGTACGTTAACAATATTTTTGAACGAAAATCATGGTTAATGATGAGATTTTCATATCAATGAAATGTTAAAAATAAGAATGTGATGAACAAATTTAGGGATATTAGTATGATAACGAATAAAGGTTAATGACATTTAATGTAATTAAAATGTGATGTACTTATAAAAATTTGGTGTGAATATAATTACCCTTAATTTCAAGTTATCGATTTGTATTCCATTGTACTATTCCACCTTATTCTAATTTGAAAAAAACTTTATATGATATTTTATTTTTGAAAAGAAACAAGTTCATAATATTCAAAAACAAATTAAGTCCCGTTTTCAATAAATAACAAATTCAATGAAGAGGACATACTTGTGACCCTATTTAGAAGTGGGACAAAAGAAATGAAAAGAAAAGTCTACAAAAAGTCAATGCAGAAATTCATCTTTTTCTTTGGGTTCATTAATTTTCAATAAAGATATTGGAGCCCCTTTAACTTCCACGGTGGTCTGCACATTAAGTGCTGCTTCTGTAATTTTCCTTGACAAGATACAATTCTTATTTATTATTTGAAGATAAATTTTTTTTTATTCACGTCCCATCAAAATCTCGATAACTTAAATATCACTTGGAAAATAAAATTTTATGATTCCAGTTCGGGTCTGTGTGCTAAATATAATTAAGAAAAATTCTACTTGTACATAATTATTGTATATAATGGTATTCATCATGTGATGTAGCAATCATCCGATTGTTGATATACAAGTGTAAGATTTGAATTGAAGATTAGATCCAATGCCATGTGTAATTATGGACACCATTATGTAGACAATTATGTACATGTAGCAATTCCCTATAATTAATAATCTCGTTGCATAATACACTAGTTTTATTTAAAATTCTTTAAGGTTATTTTTGTATAAGAAATAATTATTTAAAATTATGATGCTTGAAATATCTTTTAGAGTAACAATTTGTAAAACATAGCTACCATCTAGACTATAACGATTTTCAAAAAGTATATGCAGCATCCCTGTTTAATTTCCTTATCAATAGATAATGGTATAATTTTCAAGGTATTCACATTTATCACACATTTGTAGCGTCGACTAAAAATATCTTTATTTAATTTATCGATAAATTAATAAATTATATATTTAATATATTTTTCTCGATTCCAACATTATCTAACACACAAATTTATACACGTGAAATGATTGGCATCAATAGCATCTTCACACATATTGCCCTAAATTCTTGAAAAAGACTATACAATTTGTTAGGTTGCCCACCGAACTTATTTTTAACCGTAGAAAATAGTTAGTTAAAGTTTTTTAACAACGATTTGAAACTCCATTTTATTTTTGTGTCAAGAATATTTATAAGTGGGAGCAAAGAAAGGAAAAGTATAAATTTCCAACAAAGATATTAGAGTCCCTTCTTCCGTAATTTTCTTTGAATAAATACAGTTTTATATAAGGCAGTTTGGTAAATCGAGAGTTAGCCCCGGTTTGATTTAGATAAAATTTAAATTTTTAGTAAATTTTGATAAAAATCAGTTAAATTTGCAATTGAAAAGTTGTGTGATGATATGGATTAATTAGAAGAAGAATCCTAAACCTATAACAAAAGAAAAGGAATAAGAAAGTCGAAAGAAAGCACGCAAAGCTTTTAGCTTAGATGTAAGATTTTCGTTTGTGGTATAATCTGAAAGCGTTTTTTGATTCTGCACAATTTTGCTTGGGCATTGTTAAAATTTTGATGTCAAATTTCATCGTTTAAGAGTCCCTTTTTGCATTTTTCCGTTTTTAGTGAGTTTAAGGTATTTTTATCATTTTAGTACTTTTTCTTTTTAGTTTTAATTGGATTTGTTTTGGCGTTTCCTAGTTTAGTTGGTTATGTTTACGGAATTAAGATTTCATTTGGATTATGACTTGTTTTAAATCTATAAATATGTGTTAAGGCTGTAAAAATAATTCATTCATTTTTTTTTATTAATAATATTTTAGTTTTTCAAGTTGTTTGGTGGATTCTAAATATTTATCACGTTCATTTGAATAAAATACGAGTAAACACTTGTTCGTGTGTTATGAACAATACCCCTTTATTACTGTTCAAGTTTTCGTTCTACGTCATGGGATCCATAAAATATGTGGTTGAAATTAACTCTTGACTTGTAGCTAAATCAGACAAGGGCTTAATTTTATTTATTTATTTTTTAAAATTATTTAGGATATATTTGGACCATTTGGTACTCGCTTCTTCATTTTTCTTCGAGGGTCCCTACTTATTGATGTCGTGTTGGACTTAAAATGGAGGAACACAAAAGGTAAAAATAATTATCGTATTTAAAGGCTAAAATGTTTATTACAGACAGACATACAAGACACACATATATACATTTTTCATATACAACTAAATTTAGATGAAGGTATCATGTTAACATATTGTCATCAAAATTTGAAGTAACTAACAGTCTCTGAGATTTTGTATTTTTTTGTATTTTTTTTTTTTTTCAAAATTTGGAGAAATTAACGTCTCTGACATTTTTTTATTTTTATTTTATAACTTGTTGAAACTCAGTAGTCCCTAACTCCCTACACCTCCCGGCTGAAGGAGAGAGATGATGGCAAAGCTCTAATCTTTTGGTTGAGAAACCTACAAAAAATGGTTGGGGATTCCTACCGCATTTTTATTTTTTTTATAACTCAGATGTCCAAGTTTCCTCATACTATTCCTAAGGAGTGGCGGTCTTTCCCCCTAGTTCGTCACCCAAGTAAATTCGGATGCAGATACAGCTTATACACACTTGGGCCGAATATTCGGGATGCAGTTCTCCTCATTGTAGACCTTCCTTTACGTGAGGATAGGATCCTCGGAGGGGCGACAAAGCGCACCATAACTTTGCCTCCACAGGATAACTGTCTTTCAACATAAATGTTGTCTTCCAACTGTCGCGGGGATTCGAGCCTCTTATACTCCGTGTGGAACCCTCCTGCAAAAATGGTTGGAGATTCCTACCGCATTTGAACTCTATCATGACAGTACAATGAGATGAAGAGCCTGTTTGTCTCTCAAAATGGGTGAAATTATAGATTTTTGAATATATATATATATATATATATATTTATTTATTTATTTATTTATTTTTATTTATTTTTTTGAGAATGTATGGTTAAAATTTAAAGAAATTTTATTGGTTTGTGTGTAAAATGTTTTATTGTATGAATATGTGGTGAAAAATGTTACTGTAGCAAATAATTTAATTTGTTAAAGAATAATAATGGACGAAAATAGATGAATAATCTATATTTATATTTTCACAAGTCTAATGAAGAAGAAGATAGGTTACCTATTTATAGACTTGTTTACATGTCCTTGCGACATCTATCTATGTTATTGTAGCCAAATCGAACTCAATCAGCACAAAGGACACACAATATTGCAGAATTTAAACGCTGAACACATACAAGATTTTTTTATTTTTTTTCACCCAAGGTATGAATGTTCAAGTGCTCTTAATGCTACTCAATCTGTAGAGTATCCAAAG